TCGGGCCCTGTGACAAACTGTACAGGGCCCTAGGCTAAATGGCCAGTAGGGTGTTGTCTTAACTATCTCAGGAATTTCAGGTTCTGGGTGTAACAGAGGAACTTAATAATACCTAATCTTTTACATTTTAATTCAAGCTTTCCAGCTTAGAAACTTTACCCTTTCACAATCAGTTTGAATGTGTACCCCGCTTAGAAGTGACCAATCACCCCTGCCCAGACTGTTCCTGCCAATGAATGTACTAATCATGTCTCAGAGTTGTTGTTCAATTTTCCTGCACCTCATGATGATTTGTTCTGATGTATGCAAAGCCCCCCACCCTCCCCAAAAAGTGTACTTAAGCTCTGCTTGACCTCTGCTCTGGGCTCTGGGCCACTCTCCCTTCCTGAGTGAGCCTTGGGCCTCAGTGTGCTGAATTAGGATCCGATAAACTCCCTCCTGCCTGTTGCATGAAGCCAGTCTCTTGTGGTCTCTTCCTCCAACACTTCGCCGGACCCTTACAATATAATTATATGATTCCATTTAATCATATATTATATGATTATAATCATATATGATTAATATAATCATATATCTGTCCTTCTGTGTTTATTATTCCACTTAGCACAGTATTTTACAAATTTATCCATGTTGTAGCATGTATATGAATTTCATTCCATCTTATAATAGAATAATATTTCTATTTTATGTATATATAGTACCACAATTTGTTTATCCATCCATCTGGTGATACACAACTTTGGTTGTTTACACCTTTTGGTTATTGTGAATAATTCTGCTATGAGTGTTGGTATGTTCGAGTTCTGCTTTCAGTTCTTTGGGGTAGATACATAGAAGTAGGATTGCTAAATCATATGATAATACTCTTTAGCTTTATGAATAACTACCAAACTGTTTTTCACAGTAATTGCAGCATTTTATAATCCAGCCATGCATGAGAGTTCCAGTTTTTTCATATTCTTTCCAACACTTGTTATTTTCCATTTTATTGATAATAACCATTCTAGTGGGTGTTAGTTTATTGTGATTTTAATTTCTATTTCCCTCATGACTGATGAAGTTGCGCATTCTTTTTATGTGCTTATTGACCATGTGTGTATCTTCCTGGCAGAAATGTCTATTCAATCTCCTTGTCTATTTTGGATATAGGTTGTATTTTTGTTTTTGAGTTGCAGGAGTTCTTTACATATTTTGGTAGCAATCACTTATATGCACTACATGTGATTTGCAAGAATTTTCTTCCAGTCTTTGAGGTGTATTTTCACTCTTTTGATAGTGTCCTTTGGTGTACAGAAGTTGTTCATTTTGATAAAATCAAATTTACCTACTTTTTCTTTCGTTATTTATGCTTTTGGTTTTGTGTTCATGAAATAGTGTCATTTTCAGTTTCATAAAGATTTAACATTATGTTTTCTTCAAAGATTTTATACTTTTGCCTTTTTACTTTAGGTCATCAATCCATTCTTTTTAAAATATTTTTTAAATTGTCAATGGATCTTTATTTTATTTATTAATTTATTTATATGTGGTGCTGAGAATCGAACCCAGTGCTGAGCCACAACTCCAGCCCCATCAATCATTTGGAGTTAACTTTTACATGAGGTGGAAGTTAAAGATGCAACATCATTCTTTTGCATGTGGCTATCCAGTTTTCCCAGTACCATTTGTTGAAAAAACTATCTTTCTCCATTGAATGGTCTTGACATCCTTGTCAAAAATCAATTGACCAAATACATGAGTGTTTATTTCTGGACTCCCTATTCTACTGGTATATATGTATTCTTCTCATGCAAGTAGTGCACTAGTTTGATTATTGTAGCTTTGTAATAAGCTTTGAATTTAGAAAAGTATAAGTCTTCAATCTTTGTTCTTCTTTTTCAAAACTGTTTTAGCTATTTCAGATCTATTAAGGATTCCATATAAATTTTGGGACAAATGTTTCCATTTCTAAAAAAACAAAACAAAACAAAACAAAAACAATGGGATCTTGATAGGAATTGTGTCGAATCTGTTCTTTGGGTTGTAATGGCATCTTAATATTCTCTTCCAATCCATAAATATGGGATATCTTTCCATTTATTCATGTCTTCTTCTTCTTCTTCTTCTTTTTTTTCTTGGCAATGTTTTGTAGATTTTAGTGCACAAGTCTTTCACTTCCTTGGCTAAACTTATACCTAAGTATTTTATTCTTTTTGAAGCTATTGTAAATAGAATTGTTTTCTTACTTTTCTTTTCATATTGCTAAATGCTAATGTGTAGAAACATAACCAGTTTTTGTTTTGGATCCTGCAAATTTGATAATTTAATTAATTTGATCGATTCTAAAAGTTGTGTGCCTGTATAATCTTTAGCATTTACTAGAGTTGGCTTTTTTTTTTTTTTTTAAGGAAACACAATTTTATTTGAAAGCATTGAAAGGGTAAAGTTTCTAAGCTGCAAAGCCTGAGTTAAAATGTGAAGGACCAGGCATTGTAAAGCTGCTTCTAAGCTGCAAAGCATGAGTTGAAATGTAAAGGACTAGGTATTGTAAAGTTTCTGAACTGCACACAGAACCTGAAATTCCTGAGGCAGTTAAGACAATGCCCCACTGACCATTTAGTTGATTAATATCCTAGGACCCTGTGCAGCTTAGCACGTAGGCATTCAGGGTCCGAACCAATCAGTTTGAATGTAACCCCCTCCTTAGGAATGACCTATCACTCCAGCCTGACCTGTTCCCACCAATGAATGTACTAATCAAGTCTAAGAATTGTTGTTTGATTTTCCCGCGGTGTATGGTGATTTGTTAAAGGAGACTGTGATATATGTAAAGTCCCCGCCCTCCCCAAAAAGTGTACTTAAGCACTACTCAACCCCTGCTCTGGGCTCTGGGCTACTCTCCCTTCTTGAGTGAGCACGGAGCCCCAGCGCGCTGGATCAATAAACCCCCTTCTGCGTTTGCATGAGTCAGTCTCTTGGTGGTCTCTTCCTCCAAGGTTCGCTGGACCCTTGCAGCATGACTGACAAACTATGCTTTTTCAGTCTTGCTATATGACAGGCATTTTCTGAAAAGTGGAATAAATACAACTGTCACTTCATGAAAAACACTAGACTGTATTTTTTGCCAATGGAAAAAAAAACCTCAAGCTGTATTAATGTTTTGGAAAATGTATCTTCCATCTTGAGTTTAACAGTCTTCCCTCTATTTAAAGCCTTTTCTGGGGGAGATCAGTATTGATATTAATAAATGTGATTTTCTGGTATTGTACAATGAAACATGATGGAATACTTTCAAAATTCAGGGAACCAATTTTTTTCCCAAATGACTAATACATGATATTACAAATCATGTATGAGTAAAACATTTATTCAAAGACCAAGACAGACTAAGGGATTGCAATGTAACAATATGAGAAGTTATTGATTCATTGGTGTAGTTTAAGATTCTAAATTGCAATTAACCTCCAAAAGAATTATAAGTGCGGAGGGAGGGGGGAAGTGCAGGAGAGTAATACTGGCCAAATTATATTCTTATATTGTGTGCATGTACAGATATGTAACAACAAATCCCATCATTATGTATAACTATGATGCACCAATAAAAAATGTAGAAAAAATAACAAATCAACCTGCATCTTTGGGATAAACAAAAGAAAAAAAGTGGGGGACCCATTACTTTTGAATATATGGCTAGCTTCAATTATCTCTTTCTCCACCACCATTCTATCAATAAACACCACCAAGAGCAAAAACAGTTAACATTTTATTGGGCGTTTGTTATATGACAAAGAACTTTGTGTATTGCCTTTATCTACTAAGAACTTTATATGTACAAACTCATTTAATCCTCATAACAGTAACTGAATTCTACTTTTCATAGGAAGTAGCAGTCTCAGACACCATTTATCAACTCAATCATCATCCCTTTACTCCCTTTTTCTTCCTTTAATAACAAAATGTCATTCCATTGGCTAAGGGCAATCCTTTTTTTTAATCAATCAATTAATTAATTTTACGGTAGAATGCATTTTGACATACAGTACACATATGGAGCACAGCTTCTCATTCCTCTGGTTGTACAAGATTCAGGGTCACTCCACTAGTGGGGCAACCCTTTTATTTAAGCACTGGATCTGAGAATCCCAACTCCATCCAATATCCCCTCCCTTTCGATTGTCCCTATTCTATTAGAATTTAGATATGTTCCTTTCTTCTCCTATCTTTAGAGAAACTCTAATAATGTTGGTGGTGTAGCTCAGTGGTAGATCGCTTGCCTAGCAAGTGTAAGGCTCTTGAGTTGAACCCCAGCACACCCAGTAGGTAAATAAAGTTATCTACTAACACCACCAGTAAAGCCTTTCCCCAAACTTGCTAAGCGTCAGCCATTTTCACTCTCCTTTTCATGGGTGCACTTTTTAAGAACTGTTCACCTTTACAACTTCTACTTCCTAAACTTCCATTCTCTTCACAATCCACTACAAAGTGGTTTCTGCTCCTTCTGTGAGACACCTGACCTCTTTCCTGCAAAAGATACCACGACCTTATTCCTTCATTTAAACTTTCTTTGGCTTCTCTGACATCACCACTCCTGTGATGGTTGAGATAAGTAACACAGGTGACCTAAAAAGAGGGAAACGCTACAATAAAGTAGGACATGTGAATGGAGAAGGAAGCAACGGAAGTGGAGACTGCCGCTTTTTGAGAGGGAGCTTGGGAGAAAACAAGCAAAAGGGTCACACTGGGCCACAAAGTAACTGTGACTTTCACCCTCTTTCCACATCTTTAGAGGCTGGTAGGTACTCAAGGCAAAGCCTGAGGGTTCTGAGCACACGAAAGACGCGAGGACTGACTAGCGATATGCGAATTCAGGTGGTTCTTCGGTTCTCCCGAGGCCGAAGAGGCAGGATCGCCAGCGGAACCCCAACGCTGGGCAGAGATTGCAACCCGACGCCGGATGACGGAGGCGTGCGCGTGTGCGTGGTGTCGCTTCCGGCGCCGTTCGCTTCCTGAGGTGCAGGGTCGCTGCTGCACCAGGCATCTTGCACGCGCGCTCCAGCTATCGCCGCCGGCTCTCAGAGGCTGTAGGGCGGCGCGCGACACCCGGGAGGCGGGTTGGAGGCTGGCCCTATGTCCCGCGTTTCCTGCCCCGCCCTCAGCTTGTGACACTGAGAAAGTGTGTGGCGGGAGGAAAGATCCGGGTTAGATTTCCCTGCAGTTCTGGTGTGGTTGAACCCTGTAAGCCCACATGTAAGAGAGGGGGGAAAAATGAAGAAATTAAGGCTCAAGGAACTAGAGAGTCGCCTGCAACAAGTGGATGGATTCGAAAAGCCTAAGCTACTTCTAGAACAATATCCGACCAGGCCGCACATTGCAGGTAGGGCGGCTGGTTCACCATGCCCTAGCTTCTGGGGTTAGCCTTACATGCTTACTCCTTGATGAAAAAAAGAAACGTAATTTGGTTAGGGACTGTCTGGAGAAATTCCGCCTTAAGATCGCGTGTCACTTTAGAGAGGCCTTTACACCGCAGTTAAAGACAGTCCCCTGCCGGTCCTAAACACACACTTTTTTCCTGTTTTGTTTTCCGCGTGCTTCTTAACACTGTTTGTTTCTTTCATAAAGGAATTTTTTAGTCTTGTCACACCCCCCCCCCCCGAATTCCCAGTGCCTAAAAAAAGTTGCTGTACTAGTTAGGAGCTCAGTAAATATTTGCTAAGTAAGGATCATTTTCCTCTTAGAATGAATTGTCAGGGATTGGAATTGCAAGATTCTGATGCAATCCTCTGCCCTACAAATGAATACTAGAGTTGGTAGTGGAAGGACTTGAATTTAGCAAAATCAGAGTATGACTGTATAAAGAGGTGAGGACACGTTTTAATTTTAACACATTACTCGAGAATCAGCACTGTTTCTTTTTTCTTTTTTTAGAGCCATGGAGGTCAAAGACCTCCTGTGGCTTTTTTTTTTTTTAAAGAGAGAGTGAGAGAGAGAGAGAATTTTAATATTTATTTCTTAGTTATCGGCAGACACAACATCTTTGTTTTGTATGTGGTGCTGAGGATTGAACCTGGGCCACGAACCCGGGCCACATGCATACCAGGCGAGCGCGCTACCGCTTGAGCCACATCCCCAGCCCCTTAGCACTGTTTCTTGATGCCAGCAGTTGACATAGAGTACAGAAGGGAATATAGAAAGATCCATATTTAATAATAATATAATAAAGTGGTGGGGAAACCTTAGGAAAATTAATTTCCTGGGAACACTTGCAAGGGGGACTATTTTCCAGTTCCAAAATAGTTATTTCTAAGCTGCCAATGAGAAGGATAAAGAATGTATACATACCTGCAGTTAACTCTAAGATGTTGGCATAGTCCCAACCAAAAATCCACACAAAACTTTTGTGCAAAACTGGGGAATGAAATTGACCAAATTTCTTCATTTTGTGCATGTAAATATGTCAAAATGAATCCCACTATCATGTAAAATTATAATATGCCAATACAAATTAATTTAAACTGTCTAGGTTAAGATCAGTTTTCTCAGTTTATAATGACTCCTTATAGTCTTCTGTAGGGTTTTAGTTTTTTTGTGAAATGCAATTTTTTAAAAATAAGTTATTTCACACCTAGTTTGTAGCATGCACACAGGTGTGCTTCTTTTCAGAAACCAGCGTCAAAGTAATCACACCCACATCAGTAATTACACATTCAGTCTGAAATAGCCCTATAATTGTGTTTTTAATAAAATCTCTGGAACCTCAGCCACTAGGGATTGCCAGTAGCCCTTGCTGAGGTCAGATATCCACAGAGAGATATAAGTGGTATTATTCATGCTTAACCTACAGTTAACCTTGTGTTTGAAAAACCTCTTTCTCAGCAACCTTCTGCCCTGTTCCTTAGTTCTCTTATCAGTTATCATTTGTAGATTATGATATGTGTCTTAAGATATATATATATCTATGTGTGTGTATATATATATCTGTATACACATGTGTGAACATTACACACACACATATATATAGGATGTGGGAGATTATGATACCTGTGTTCTGATGACAAACTTTACAAAAAAGTTCTGTGCCCCTTTAATGCTAATGCTTGTTTGATATTACTGGTTCCTAGACTTGTAGTCTTCCCACATTAGTAAACTTTTAAAGCTGACTGATACAGGGCTGCCAAACTTACATTTTGACAAGGAAGGATATTTATAACTCTATTTACTTGTACTATTCTTTTATATAAACTACTTCAGCATCAAAGAAAAAAACTAATAGATACACATACACACACAGAACAATGTTTTGAATAGGTGGCTGAGGAAAAATAAAGCATTTTTCTCATTTTACTTGAGATACTAGTGACAGTTTTGTCATTCTTGGCATTGTTACCAGAGACAGTTTTTTGGGAACCTCTAATAAGTGTTATCCTCCTTTGTGGTGCTTTTTATTACATACTAAGTAATCTTTTTTTTTTTTTTTTTTTAATAACATGGTACACTGATTTGTACAAATTAAATGAGTCATACCCTACTTATTCCCTAATATGTTTTAAAATTGTTCTTTAGCATGTATGCTTTATACAATCCATAACACATATGATGACATTGAAAATAAAGTGGTTGCAGACCTAGGATGTGGTTGTGGAGTGCTTAGCATCGGAACTGCAATGTTAGGAGCAGGGTAAGTGATCCAACTTATACTATTTGGGTATGGGGCAGCCTTAATAAGTGTAAATAAGATGAACTGAATTATATTCATGGGACTCTAAACAATGAGATGGGGGACCAATAATCTAATACTGAGTATATTTTGAATGTACAGAATATAAAAACTATATATTTGTTTGTTTATAGGATGTAAATAAATATAGGCAGTATGGTTGAATCCCAGAGGCTCAGGAGGCTGAGACAGGAGATTGCAAGTTCAATGCCAGCCTCAGCAATTTAGTGAGGTTCTCAGCAACTTAGACCCTGTCTCAAAATTCTAAAAAGGGCTGGGGATGTGTCTCAGTGGTTGAGCATCCTGTCTTCAATCCCCAGTACCAAAAAATAAATAAATAAAAAGTATAACAGCAAACTTTGGATTGTGCAGAGGGGAGGGGAAAGGGTATGGGGTTAGGGAGGACGGTGGAATGAGATGGACATTATTATCCTATATGTATGATTACGCTACCTCTGTGACTCTGCACCATGTTCAGCCAGAGGAAGGAGAAGTTGTGCTCCATTTGTGTACAGTGTGTCAAAATGCATTCTTCTATCACGTATAACTAATTAGAATAATTTTTTTTTTAAGTATAAGAGCAGCAGTCCCTTTTATATACATCTGAGTTTCCAACCCTGGCTGCATTGGGAAATCATACTGTTGAAAAGCTACACCCACTCTTAACTTTTGTTAACTGAGTTAAAAAGCATAAGTAAAAACTTTTTGTTTTGTTGTGGCAGTTGTAAGATGCCACTCTTTGTGTTTTGCATTTATAGGTTGTGTGTTGGATTTGACATAGATGAAGATGCATTGGAGATATTTAATAGGAATGTGGAAGAGTTTGAGTTAACAAATGTGGATATAGTTCAATGTGATGTATGCTCATTATCCAACAGAATGTCTAAGTCTTTTGATACAGTAATAATGAATCCTCCGTTTGGGACCAAAAATAATAAAGGTTAGTAACAAGAATTAGATGTACTAGTGTATTCACAGGAAAGCAAGTTTTAAAGAACATTTTACTATTAACTGGACTAAGTGATTTTATCATTGATCATTAAATAAACCAATCTTCTACCTGTATAGGTATTATAACTTAAATTTCAGTTTATTTAGGAATTGAATTTTTAATCTTTATTTTTACAAATTTGTATTAAGTAAATTTTCATCATTTATGATTAATATTTGGGATGATTTGTCTGGCCCTTAAAAATGATTTTGAAACTTATAAAGGATTTTGTACTTTTTGAATCTGCCTTTTTTTTTTTTTCAGGGGTAGTGCTGGGAATTGATCACAAAACTTCACCAATGGTAAACACACATTCTGGTGTTTTTTTTTTTTTTAATGTGTATTTTTTAGTTGTAGTTGGACAAATACCTTTATTTTACTTATTTATTTCTATGTGGTTGAGAATTGAACCCAGTGCTCTACTGCTGAGCCACAACCCCATCCCTAAACACACATTCTTATCACTGAGCTATAACTCCAGCCACTCAAACCTGTTTTTTTTTCTTTTTAATATATATATTTTTTAGTTGTTAATAGAGACCTTTTTAAATTTATTTACATGCGGTACTGAGAATCAAACCCAGTGCCTCACACATGCCAGGCAAGTGCGCTACTGCTGAGCCATAGCCCCAGCCCTCAAACTTGTTTTTTTTTTTTAATATGCATTATCTCAAACACATGTGGATTAACTCACAGTTTCTGTATGTCAGAAGATCAGGCACAGTTTAGTTGTATTGTCTACTTCAAAATCTTTTTTTTTTTTTTTTTAAAGAGAGAGAATTTTTTTTTTGAATTATTTTAATATTTATTTTTTAGTTCTCGGCGGACACAACATCTTTGTTGGTATGTGGTGCTGAGGATTGAACCCGGGCCGCACGCACACCAGGCGAGCGTGCTACCGCTTGAGCCACATCCCCAGCCCAAGAGAGAGAATTTTTTAATATTTATTTTTTAGTTTTCGGCGGATACAACATCTTTGTATGTGGTGCTGAGGATCGAACTCGGGCTGCGTGCATGCCAGGCGAGTGCGCTACTGCTTGAGCCACATCCCCAGCCCTCAAACCTGTTTTTAATGTTTAAACACACATGAGTGTTTCAGAATGTGCTCATTGGTAACAGTGACTCACTGTTTTTGTGTGTACTATGGGCAAGGAGGGTAGGAAATCAATAAGAGAAGGAAAACACATGCATACTTTAAAAAGTACCCCTACCCCACCAAGATGATTCTGGATTTTGACTCATTAGAATGGGATATAATATTAAAATTTTACTTTAGCTTTATTTTTTAGCCAAGACAATATAATTCTGGTTTTATTTTATCAACTTTAATAAAATATTCTGATATTTATTTGTACCCTGACTTGATGCAGAAAGAATTTCAAGTGCCTGTTTTGGAGTTTAGGAAAAAGTTTCTAAATTCTATTTGTCTAATCTTCTGCTTTGATAAAAGGTACAAAATGTAAATAAGAGGGTTTTTTTTTTCTTTTTCTTTTCATAGGAACAGATATGGCTTTTCTAAAGACTGCTTTGGAAATGGCAAGAATAGCAGTATATTCTTTACACAAATCTTCAACTAGAGAGGTAAGTTCACATCACCATGATATTTTAGGTCATTTTTTAAAAAATTGTGTTTTAAGGACTTGCTGTGGATGCTAAATTACCACAGTGCCTGTTTCTCCTGACCTTTTGACATTTAGCTCTTAGTAACTAAATTTTCCCTTTAATTAGCTATTATTTATTACTACCTTCTTTCATCAAAGATTTGTTCAAACAGGACTGTTACTAGCAAAGGTACTACAATTCGGGAGTAGAGAAGTATGGTATAACTAGGATTACCGTATGTTCTGGTTTGCCTGGGTACGTTCTGGTTGATTAATGCCTCTTCTCCCAGTGGGCTCATGCAGTTAAAGGAGAAGTATGGTATAACTAGTTTCAAAAATGGTAAGCCTCAAGCAAAAGAATTCTGAGTTCAGAAACCACATATTTCACTATTCTTTTTGCCAATACATAATGTGGGGAGTGTGAAAGATGTATTACAGAAATTAGGGGGAGGGGCGGTACCTTTTTCCTTGTCAATATAACTTAGTGATTAAGAAAGAACTGAGGGGGGCTGGAGATGTGGCTCAAGCGGTAGCCCGCTTGCCTGGCATGCATGCGGCCCAGGTTTGATCCTCAGCACCACATACAAACAAAGATGTTGTGTCCACCGAAAAAACTAAAAAGTAAACATTAAAAAATTCTCTCTCTCTCTCTCTCTCTCTCTTTAAAAAAAAAAAAAAAAAAAACTGAGGGGCTGCGATTGTGGCTCAGTTGTAGAGCGCTTGCCTGATGTGTATGAGGCACTGGGTTCGATTCTCAGCACCACATATAAATAAATGAATAAAATAAAAAGGTCTATCAACAACTGAAAAAATATATTAAAAAAAAAAGAAAAAGAAAAAACTGAGACTCTGGAACCAGATTGGACTGGATTCAAATCTAAGTTCTGCTGCATCTTAAGTATGTTTTTGGTAAAGCCACTTGATCTTGTTTTCTCAACTATGCTGACCTATACTCTTTGGTGTAAAGAACTCAGTATGCTATAATTGGTATAATTATGAACATTAAATGAGTTACTATTTACAAAGCACTTAGATCAGAGTCTTGCATATCTAATTGCTGTGTGTTGGCTGTTATTATTTAAATAGTTTCTATGAAGAGATTTTAAAATAGCCTTGTAGGAAAAATATTTTAGTCATGAACAGTGCATAAGAACCCAGTTGAGGCTGGGGATGTGGCTCAAGCGGTAGGGCTCTCGCCTGGCAAGCGTACGGCCCCGGGTTCGATCCTTAGCACCACATACAAACAAAGATGTTGTGTCCACCGAAAACTGAAAAATAAATATTGAAATTCTCTCTCTTTCTCTCTCTCTCTCTCTCTCTCTCTCTCTCTCTCTTAAAAAAAAAAAAGAACCCAGTTGAAAATAAAAAATTCTAGAGACATAGTAATCTAATAACCCTTCTTTAAAAAATATTTATTTTTTAATTGTAGTTGAACACAATGCCTTTATTTATTTTTATGTGGTACTGAGGATCGAACCAAGGGTTTTGCACATGCGCTCTACCGCTGAGTGACAACCCCAGCCCCCCCATTTTTAAAAAATATTTTTTAGTTGTAGATGTACACGATACCTTTATTTTATTTACTTAAAAAATATCTTTTTTATTTTTATGTGGTGCTGAGGGTCAAACCCAGGGTCTCACACGTGCTAGGAGAGTGCTGTACTACTGAGCCACAATCCCAGCCCCATGCTTTTTTATTTTATGTGGTGCTAAAATCAAACTCACTGCCTCACTCATGCTTGGCACACGTTCTACCACTAAGCCACAACCTCAGCCCATAATAACCTTTTTAAAAGTACAACATCCGACAGCCAAGCAGAAATACACTGCTAACAATGAACAGTGGTACATGTAAGCAGTCAACAGAATATAACATATCTACTGGTAAATCTCAATCAATATATGAAAGCAAGTGCCAATACATATTGTGTCCAAAAAGCCTTAATTGAATAAAGCAGTTTTAAATAGTAAATTAGCAACTAAAAATTAATAATTCTTTGTGAAGTGGTTCAAGAATTTTAGACCTATAAAGCTCTAACACATCTGTTACAGTTCAAAACACTAACCTCAAGCAACTTAGACCCTGCCTCTAAATAAAATGTAAGAAGGGGCTGGGTATGTTGCTCAGTGCTTCAGCATCCCTGCGTCCAATCCCAAGTATAAAAACAAAACAAAAAAACACTAGCCTCGTTAACAAATGAGGAAACTGAGGCACAGAATGAGCAATTTGCTCAGGGTTATATAGCTAGCAAGTAGTAGTTCTGTAGTTTAAATGCAAGCAGCCTGGTTCTAGAGACCATGCTCTGAACTATTACGCCATACTGCCACTGAATTGCCCATGGACATGGACCTCTCTGCTGAATAGTTTCCAGGATAAGTAGTTATATTGATGAGACAATGATGAGAAATCATGAGTGTATCACGTATTCTGATGCTTTTCTTAAAGTTTTTCACTTGAATTTATGTAATTTGGCTGATTGTTAAATATATTGAAATGACTTGATTACTGATTTTCAAAATATTCATCTAGTTGAAACTTTTCAGTCTAATTTCTTTTTTTTTTAAGAGAGAGTGAGAGAGGAGAGAGAGAGAGAGAGAGAGAGAGAGAGAGAG